CCCGACATTCCCAAGCCTCAGGATAAGATAATTTACACACTGTACTTAAAGCAAATGTTACACTGAAAAACATTTCAGGGCAGTAGATGAATTTCTGCACAAAAGTCAAATGTTACATTACTTTAAACTTAAATACCTTCATTGTTATGATAGGTTTGGCACATTTATTCCAACTAAATTTAAACTTTCTCCATCTTTGTGGTAAACACACTCTGTATCTTTAATTAAAACAACCAAAAATAGATTCTGAGCTGTTTTGTCCATGCATGATATACAAATGCAACCAATGACTCCAATTATGATTTTTTTCCCCCCTGTCAATTTCCTGCTCAGCACTGATGGAAACTCTGTGGCTCTTTCTTTCAGCTGGTACATTTCAGAGGCAGATAAAACATTTCAATTTGCCAGAAATAATTTGTCCGTCAGAGAGCGCAGCCTGTCTGGTCTCTTGTACGGAGAAGTAATTCCCCTCATCTTAACATTAATTATGTTCTCCTTGTGTCTGTCAACACAAGGAGATTGATGGCTGAGGGAGGAAGAAAAACACAGAACCATCGTCCGATGAAATCTAAAAATAGACTCAGGGCCAGCATGTATACGTCTGTCATCTCACATCACATGAGCATGAATATGTAATTATTATTCATTGATAAAACACGGGGGGGGGTATGAAGAACAAGAATCTATTGTTACACAGGCTGGCAAATTTATGTCTATGTATTTCTGGTAAACAATATTTGCAGAAACACAGGGCCTAATAATCATTCTGACTTTCATGCCTGGGGGCTGGATTTGTTTTCATCTGGTGAGGGACGAAGGATATCAAAACACTGCAGATGGAGATGACTGCTGCGTTCCTGTTGTTGTACAATAAATAATACTGAGTACCAGAGGTTTGGGTAGGAATCATTAACAATGACAGGGTCTTAATTATTAAATAGTATTTTTCATATTCACTAAGGGCTAAATAAAGAGGAGAAGAAACAATTGTTAAATCTGAAAAATGTAGGCCTTCGACATAAACTCTGTTTGCCCCCCAAATTTCTGGTGTCAGGTGTGGACACAGGTGATTTCTGCCCACAAGAAGTGACAGATCTAAAATAAAGAGCGAAATAGGACTTGTCTCTTGATCAGGTGTGACTGAGAACTCTATAAAGCGAAAACTAGACTCACATATTAAATCCTTTGTCCCTCGACTGGCAACAGACATGAGAGCGTTGTCTGCAGTTACATCACGTTACATGACTTCTTGGCAATGAAGTTCATATTGTCAGTTATCCCTCGTTGCCATCTGGAGCTGCCAGTGTGAGAAGTTGCCTAGTGCAGCTTTTTATTCACACACTCTGTTTTAGAGGTAACATCTGACCTGAGTACAGTGTATCTAGTAGCTATACTAGTCCAGATGGTGGTACATTGTGATCCTTTGCTACTCAACTACATCTAATGAGCAGCTGTGTGGTAAGAAAAGGGTCTGCATGCAAAAACATATGGCGAACTTGTGAAATCATGGATTTTGTATATTTATAGGAGGCAATACAAAAGAAGTGTGAGTATATCATGACGCATTTTGACCCAGTGAGTTTAACAATGATGGGCTTTTCTGTTTCTATTTTCTATCTATGATATACTAGATGCTGGCCTGGATATATAATGTAAAGGCTGGACAACTCATTAAAACAAGTTTGCTTAGCCAAAAAAGGGCTATAATCACAACGGATAAAATGACAATGTAAACACAATTTGCCAATGTGAAAAGGTTCACTCGTTGTGATGAGTGTACAGAGAAGAAGCTCCCTGCTGCTTTATGGAGCTTTATAGTTTTTTTGTTTAGCTGTCCGGTCTGCAACTTTCCATTCTCGCCACTCTCCTAGTGTTGTTTTCTGCCACAGCAGGTAGCTTTATTTCAGTCTCATACAGACACACAAGATACCCGTCTGTATGAGATGCCTTTTCAGCACATGACTAATGTTGTGAAAAGTCACAGTTTGGTTAGGTTCAGGCAACAAAACAACTTGTTGAGGTGTAGGAAAAGAGCCTGGTTTGAGTTAAAATCATGGATGTATTAAGGGAGAACTGGATACAGCATTAATGGTGGGCCTCTCAAAGCCAAAAAGGTCTCTTCCTGGTGTGAAGAAATGATCCAGATGAATGCATATTACGGGCAGGGGTTTATTATGGGGGTGGTGACACTCAAAAACATGTATCCACCTATTTACAGCCACTTCTTTCAATTCAATTCAATTCAATTTTATTTGTATAGCGCCAATTCATAGCAAAAGTTATCTCAGGACACTGAGATAATAGAGCAGGTCGAGACCAAACTCCTTATAACATTATTTACAGAGACCCAACAGTACCACCATGAGCAAGCACTTGGCGACAAGGGCAAGGAAAAACTGCCTGTTAAAAGGCAGAAACCTAGGACAGATCCTTCGGCTCTAGGTGGGTAGTCGTGTGCCTCGACCAGTTGGGGTGAGAGAGAGAGAGAGACAGACAGACAGACAGACAGACAGACAGACAGACAGGTGCACAGCAACAACAGCATTGGCAATGGCAATCTAGCAGGACCATGGCAGGAGGTTCCACCAGGATCGATAAGAACCTGCGAGACGAGAAAGCACAAGAACTCTGGGGAAGAAGTGAAGTTAGTAACATGCATTAATGGGACATGAATGGGTGCAGAAAGAGAGAGAGAAAGAGAGGAGCTCAGTGCACCATGGGAAAACCCCCGATAGTCTAGGCCTATAGCAGCATAACTAAGGGATGGTTCAGGACTCACCTGATCCAGCCCTAACTATAAGCTTTATCAAAGAGGAATGTCTTAAGCCTACTCTTTAACGTGGTGAGGGTGTCTGCCTCCCGAACCACACCTGGAAGCTGGTTCCACAGGAGAGGAGCTTGGTAACTGAAGGCTCTGGCTCCTGTTCTACTTTTAGAGACTATAGGAACCACAAGTAGCCCAGCATTCAGAGAACCTGGTGTTCTAGTGGGGTAATAGGGTACTATGAGCTCTTTAAGATATGAAGGGGCCTGGCCATGAAGAGCTTTGTAGGTGAGGAGGAGGATTTTAAATTCTACTCTAAATTTTACAGAGAGCCAGTGCAGAGAAGCTAGTACAGGAGAGATGTGATCTCTTTTTCTAGTTCCTGTCAGTACTCGTGCTGCAGCGTTTTGAATTAATTGGAGCATTTTAATGGACTTATTGGGGCAACCTGATAATAAACAGTTGCAGTAATCCAGCCTTGAAGTAACAAATGCATGGATTAGTTTTTCTGCATCTGTCTGTGATAGGATGTGTCTAATTTTTGTAATATTACGGTTTTGGGGCCAAGAACAAGAATTTCGTTTTTTTCTGAGTTTAACATCAGAAAATTGCAGCTCATCCAGGACTTTATGTCCTTAAGACATGTTTTTAATTTAGATAATTGATTAATTTCATCAGGCTTGATTGACAGATATAACTGCGTATCATCTGCATAACAGTGAAAGTTAATGGAGTGATTTCTAACAATGTTGCCTAAAGGGAGCATATATAGTGTAAATAGTATTGGTCCAAGAACAGAACCTTGTGGAACTCCATGACTAACTGTAGTATTTATTGATGATTCATCGTTAACATGTACAAACTGCAAACGATCTGATAAGTATGACTTAAACCAGCTTAGTGCGGTTCCTTTAATGCCAATTTGATGCTCAAGTCTCTGTAAAAGAATATCATGGTCAATGGTGTCAAATGCAGCACTAAGATCTAATAATACAAGTACAGAGACAAGTCCATTGTCAGAAGCAATCAGAAGGTCATTATTAACTTTAACCAGAGCTGTCTCTGTGCTGTGATGGACTCTAAATCCTGACTGAAAATCCTCAAATAAACTATGGTAATGTAAAAAGTCACACAACTCTTTGGTGACTACTTTCTCCAGAATCTTAGAGAGGAAGGGGAGGTTAGAAATTGGTCTAAAGTTGGCTAAAACCCCTGGGTCAAGAGTGGGCTTTTTAAGAAGGGGTTTAATTACAGCTACTTTAAAGGACTGTGGTACATATCCTGATAATAAAGAAAGATTAATCATATCCAGTAAAGAAGTGCCAATTAAGGGTACAACTTCTTTAAGCAGCCTAGTTGGGATCGGGTCTTACAGACAGGTTGATGGCTTCGATGTAGAAATTATTGAAGTTAACTGATGAAGATCGATAGCAGAAAAACAGTCTAAATATATATCTGAGTTTACATTAGTTAAAGTTCCTAAACTTCACACTTTCATAGTGTAAGCTTCTTCTGGGGCCTGGGTGCATTGCTGTAATTACAAGGTTAGATGCATATGGGCATAAAGGATGAAAAAAACTGTTTGTTAACCTGTTACCGATGTTAGTGAGGTTTTTTTTTAAGAAGAAGAAGAACAACAACAAAGGATTTCACACACTGATACAAGGTAATTAGTTCTAGTTCTCCTACATAATTACCTGGAAACTATATGACTTGCATAGTTTTGGTTATATAATTGTTTCTTACACAAATTGGACAGCTGGGAACAGCAGCTAATTTGTTCATCACATGCAGCTATCACACTCTTTCACACATAACATGCTGTACACCGTTTGCTTTTAGCATTTAATTAGGAAATTGCACAGTATGCTGTATAATAATTAGAAGACAGACCCCAGAGAGGAACATAAATATGTTTCAAAAAGTGAAAGTCCACAGACATTGGCCAATAGGTATATTTAAATAATAAGAATTGAAGATACTGAGGAATATTTCAAATAACTTGCATTGCACTGTGTTAGGGGTATGGTGGGGTTTTTTTGTAATAAAAAGCAAGTAGCCTACATTTTGAACATTTTCTGTGCTTTTCTGAACATGCTCTTAAGTTTGAGTGAAATGTTCTTGTGTGCCTCCTTGTGGAGCACGTCAGCACTGGAGGAGGCACCGGAGGGCTGGGTCAGAGAGAGTAGTTGGCAAACAGGAAAGAGGAGCGCACTATAAGAAGAGACTGAAACCCCGAGGAGCGTCAAAACATTTAAACCAGAGCCGAGAGAGGAGGAGAGGAGAGAGGGAGACAGAGGCGAGGTGAGAGACACAGAGAGAAGGAGAGATACGTGGAGAACGGCAACGCGTTCAGGATGAAGACTTAAATCGCGGTGATTTTTTTTTTTTATTTCTGCAAGGACTGCAAGGCTGCATTTTAATAATCCAGCGTCAGCACAGTGTTAGGGGGAAAAAGGGAAAAGTGCGGTCCGACACTGCACTCCTCCTGCGCCCGGCGCGCCTCGGTGTCACCGCGCAGAGAAATCCTGGATGAGCGCAAAGTGTCAGCTTCAGCACCTGAGGAGAGGACAGCTCCACTCTGCGTGCTCCTCCGGACCTCCTGTCCCCCCCCCAACAAAAAAAAACTCTGCTGCAGCTTTTTTTTTGTTTTCATGTCAACACTTCCAGCGTGACACTCTGCTACACAAGTCTGGAAGAAGTCTAAAGATCCACTGACGGAGAGATCCGCGACTGACTGGGTGCTCAATATGTACCAGGGGCATTTACAGGTAAGACACAAGCACCTCTTTTGGTTGCTCATTGTCCATGAGAGGGAAGGGTTTTAGTTGTGATGGAACAAATGAACCGATGTGAACAGGGCGCACTTCTACATGCAGCCTAGTTCACTTCAAGGGCATTTTTTCTTTTCTTTTTACACAAGGGATATGAGGTAAGCACAATTAGTCCAAGGCAAGAAGACATTTCTGCGCTAAACAAACTGTACCCTGATAACAGAGACATGCATGGCGTTTTTAACTGACCAATTACAGCGGAAAAGACAGTGGGGCTTCTAGGTTGTTGGGGGGGAAAATGATTAAATTGATGGGAAGGGATGGCCAAGGGACTATAAATAAACCTAATTGCATACATTATTTCTAATATTCATTGAGAAAACAGAGACAGAGCCACTGTGCACGTGCAGGTGCATGACAAATGTAAACAGGAGGTAAGCGTAAACAGGGGCAGCCTCGACACTGGGAATCATTAGATCCTTAACATACATGTGCTCATGCTCGTGACGTCATGCAATCTGACGTCAGTTTTCATACAGCAAACTACAGCACTAACAATACACTTAGTGTTACATCACTAGAGGAGCCTGAAACTCAACTCAGACACCAGAAACTGGGACAAGAAGGCACAAAACACGCTGGAATAATGAACAGCTCGATCATGCCTCAGCTTTTTCCCTGCTAGTAGAAATCAGAAGACTTTCAGTGTGTAGCTGCTCCCCAGCAGCTCAACACTGCATGTTTGATGTACAGTATAATCACACGTTTTCATTTCAACACAATGAGCTCATAGTGCAAAACAGTAATCCTTCCTCAGTGGTTAATGACAGCCTCTCCTCTAGTTTAGATGCATGGATTGAAATGAATACTGTTGGTTGACAGAGATACTTCAGCTTCCAAGCAGTTGATTATGTAATAAGAAGACCACTCCTGACCAAAATTTAATATTTCATGATATATTACTCAAGCAGCAGTATTCATTTAAAATGCATGAATAGGCGGTCAGTAGTTTCTTGTCTGGACTGTGTTTGTTAAGGGTCAATGAATGGTCATAAAGAGTTGGACATATAATCAATCTTACCTTTTTAATCACAGTTTTCATGTTTCATCCCATGATGTTTCAATTATCTCACACTTTATATGTTTTTCATCACACGCATGCAAGTCATTACACCGTGCCGTGTTTAGATCATAACTGAAACACGATACTGCTCTTTCTCAGCCATGATATGGGACTAATTTAGCAGCAAATGTCCAGTGAATGCAGAGCAGACACTCTATCTCTCGGTATTGGATCTTCCGCCGTGATGCTCACTTGCGTAACTGATGCATTTATCTTGATGTTGGCAACACTTTCCTCTTGGAGTCAAGTGTGTTCTTGTGTGTGTGCATATGAAATCGGACCTGAGCTTGTGAGTTACACAGCCAGATCTTTTTCACATAGAGAGTGGAACTCATGTATTGCCTGTGTGGGGAATGGGTGGGAATTTGCACAAAAAGTTGCATTTTAAAAAGGACACATTTAGTTGAGGGTGCATGCTTTCAGTAAAGAACATTTTTTGAAATTAGTCCAGAAATCTATGCTTTTTTTCCATTTTGCATGTGTTTTATTCAAGCCACAGTATATATTGCTTTAAAACATAGCCAAGCATTACAATAATGTTGAGCATGTCCTCTAAAATCTTCATTTTTACATGATTCACTGTGTCAACGTGACCTCTGAATGCAGGCTTGGGGCATAAATCATTGAGAGTTGTAGCTCCGAATTTTAAATGAAGCTCATACTGTACACAATTCTCGATGTAATAGCGATGCAGCATCAGTCAGTCGCTCATTATCAGAGCTATCAGATTTCCTTCCTCATAGTAGATACACTTGTAAGTCCTTCTTTATTACATGATTGTCAGTCAGAAAGATTTGTCAGCTTATGCTGCAGCTCAGGAGGCAGTTGGCTGTGGGAACAAGATAAGGATGTCCCATCTTTCCATTCTTTTTTTTGTTCATTCTTGTCATTTGTTGACCTTCTCATTTCTCTGTGACCTGGTGCATCAATACATGTGGGTTGTTGTGGTAGTACAATCCATGGAGAGTGAGGTATTTCCATAAACACACTAATATGTTTGCATAATTGCTGCCGATCTGCACACAATGTTACAATATTGGGTGGATCAAATATCTTGGCACGAGTTTCACAAACAACGCCAAATCTTGTCCTCATGGTTGGCATGTGTAGATCTGCATGGGAAATATCAGAGTTTGGCGTGGCCAGTGCTGCTTGGCAGAAATATAATGCTGGACTCAATTTCTCTAATCATGATTTTTGTCTTTAAAATATCATACACATGCGTCAACACACAAGTCAGCATCCTACAGTAGTTACCAATTTGTGTTGTGCATGAAATGAAATGTGTGTTCCTTTTTTGTGAGCAGAGGATCACCTTACTGTATCAAGTGTTGGAAAAGATTGATGCAGTCCACACAGATTTAGAGGTGTGGATGTCAGCCTCATTGCTCTTTCTGTGAAGGTGCAACTGAAGCTCCTGCGAGGCGAGCTGATTCAGCACAGCTCCTCAGCTTTATCAAACAAAAAGCCAGAAGACATATTGTTTTAGTCAATGCACTGTTTATTGTGACCTTGATGTACTACATATAAAAAAAGACCTTGAGTTTGTCTCCATCCATACTCCCTCAGATGGCACTTTCCCACAACATTTTGACATAATAGATTGCAGTGTAATTGCTGTGGTGGTTTCCTTACTTTGGTATTCATGTTTACAGTGAATCTAATTACGGGAGCGTTTGTACTGTGTGTATAAAATACATCCTGACTTAATGGAAGTGATGCTCCAAGGCCTTCGGATATTTGCTCTGTTAAGCGCAACATGATTGCATAATTTGATTACCATATTCCAACCCCCCGGGGGAAAACTTGGATGGATGCTATCGTTGATCAGAAGTAGATCGAGTCTCTAAAGATCTCATTCATTCACACCGTCTTTTCATTAAGCTTGATTTGTTTATACTGTCTGGTTGGTTGGGTGAAAGATTATTTGTTTAGAGGTTTTCCTCCAGCACTCTGCGAGAGTAAATAGGCCACAGATACAATCTAAAAATCGCTGAGCTGTTCAGAATCAGTTTCTTCTATTTGAATTTCCTGTTTTCTGTTCTGTTTTGGTGGTGTGGATATTTGTGGCAACCAAGTGAATCCCTTTGTGTTTTTGGTTTGTCCTCATTGTAGCCAAGACTTGTCAAAAACATTTTCTCAAGGGACACTAAAGCCCTGATATATTCTTGTTGCTGAAGTTTCCATTCCCCTCCTACCCTGACTTCAAACACAGGCTTGATACTGACACATTCAAATGCTGTTAATTAGCATAATCAGATGTGTTTTATGAAATGCAAAATAACAGGTTACAAGTCCTTATGATTTAAAATATTCCAATCAATGCTAAAAGAAACATTAAGTAGGGTTTAATGGCGGAAAAACTATTGATAACAACCCAACACCAGCAGGAGTCTTGCACTTTCATCAAGACTTCTCCCACAGCCATGGTGGTCAGCTACAGGCATGACAAAGTGGTCCTAAACGCCTTTTCCACAGAGACTGTTTTAAAGTCTCCTTGATTTAATGACCCATGGTCTTGATTAAGAGTGATTTAATAGGCCTGACTATTTCAGGAGCCAGGATAATGAGTGAAATCAGGTGGTATCCGGCTGGAACGAAAGCTCCACAGAAAGTACTGCTCTCCTTGTTGAAGACGGGCAGGAAAATAAATGTCTATGAGAAACATATTCCAAAGTTATTCTGTTCCTGTATTTCTGATTGTAGTTTCAGGAAACTGAGAAATGATCCCTTCTCAAAATGCATAGAGAAAGAAATATAAAAGAAAAGAGAAATTTCCTTTTCAGCCTTCTTCCTCAAACAGGGAGAACACTTTAAAGATGTTTGTTTGTTGCTTTAACATTTTCAAAATTCTTTCAAATTTCAAAATCACATGTCCATTTAATGCTTGCATAACCCACCTGCAGTAGAGGACCATAATAGTGATAGTGCTGTACTGTAAGTACATTGTGTTTATTTAGTTGACTGGTATGTGTGGTGGATTTTAAATAACCTCTGACACTGGACAGAGTAAGGCCATTTTTCCAATGGGGAGACTTACACACCCGCCACAATGATTTTCCGTCAGATTTTTCAGCTGAAGTTCAGCTTTGACCTTCAAGACGTGGGTCCAGTGGATTTCTGCTATTGACAAGAGGCAGCAGTTATGACGGCTGTAATTTTACTGCAGAGGAAAAAGTAAAAGTTAATTTATGCATCGCTGAGTGAAGTTATTTACTCTAACTGTACTGGATCAGGATCTCAAGCGTCGGAGAAAAGAACAAGGAATACCAGGTGAGAAACTAAATGTCATGATCATTTACAGTCAGATGTAATCCATAGCATCCTAGTTGGCTGCTTTGGAAAGGTATGTGCTGCTCTACATTTTGCACACATCCTCACACTGTTTGCTGCTCAAATATGGTCTGAAACTGGCATTTGTATCTCTTCCTCTGTCTTTTTACAGATATTTTAGTGAATTACTCTCATCTTGTCACTGTGTGCTCACAAATAAAGAAACTAATGTTAAAAGACACAGTGAAGTTTGCTGAAAAGGACCAGATAAACGACCTAAAGGATTTGCATTGTTTCACTGTGCTTAACAAGGTGGCAGGCATCCAGTCTTCAGTCACTGGTGACAGTGGGGGGGGGGCATACTGGGACTCTCTCCTTCTCCTTGGTTGGATGGCTAAGGCTCTACAGAGGCACTGAGCAGCTTGCAGAGCTCGTAAAGCGGACTAGAAGGAGACTAAGAGGGATTCAAGCATACATCAGCAGCGGCTGTGCTATAAGCTGATTGAGGAGACAGGGGTCGTTGTTCTTGCCCACATAGCATGGGAATTTGGTCATTTTGCCATTCACTGTCATCTGTGCTCTGTGCTCCCCTAACACCTAT